TAACTTTTTTTCAATTTTTCTGGTATCAGCAGATAGATCTTTTTGAGATCTTTCATTTAAAAAAAAGTTCAACTCAATCCGATTTTTCGCTCAAAAGTTATAGGCAGTTGAGGGTTTTGTCTTTGACCCCCCGCCCCCCCTCTCTGGGGGGGCCTAAGTCAAAATGACCGCCATATTTGAACGTCTCGCATGCTACTGTATCACTCCTGAAAAGATGGATCATATTTGATAGGGGGCCAAATCTAATGGGGGATGGAACAACCTCTTTTCCAAAACTTCTTAATAACAGGCCATTCAAAGATGTAACTTCCTTTAGGTGCTGGCAGTGACAAAAAACTAGGTGTATGTGTATAAATTATTCACCATAAAACTTAAATGTTTTCAAGAAAAGTATTTCAAATTATGTCTTTTTAATTATCCTTCATACCCTCAGATGTCAGAGAAATTTATCAAAATTTGTCAGGGAAATATCAAGGAATTTCATTTTCTAAATTCTGTGGCAACCCTGGCCTGGAGAATCCTGAAAATAGAGAATTGAATTTTGCTGAGAATTTTTTCTACGCAATTGAGGCATATCGGAAATTTTAGTAGAAAATCTCGGAACCAAATAGTACACACAAAAAGACAAAAGCAATGAAACTGAGTATTGGGTTGGGAAGAGGGGGGGGGGGTGTTGAGGACTGTTACCAATTGCATGTACTGAGAAGAGTAAACGGGTACACTTCTCATAGGAGGTGGGTCTAGAACTGCAACACACAAGCAAAGGTCTGCGTAATGTGCTGGTTTTCTGTAACTTTTTCCACAGTTGCGGTTCAGTTGAAGCATCGAAAAAATAAGTAAACTTTTTTACAAAAGGGGGAGTGTTATCAAGCAAAAAATGACGTAATTATCTGAAGAGGGGTGGTTGTGCAGATCTGTATGACGGGTGCTAGTAAAAAAGTTATCATGGGGCTTTCTAAGAATTTTCTTCTTTGGAGAGGGGGAGGGGGCTACATTTGTGACGTAATTTATGGTCAACCACAAGCAAGAAAAAACAAATGAAATTGATACTGGGCCATTAGACAGGGTATGAACCTTAAACAAACACCATGTTATATCTTTATTGTTCTGAATAATTAACATTATTTCGTTCGTTTGGGTTTTTGGGGGTTTTTTGCCGGGTTTTTGTTAAGTGGAGTTTTTCATATTTACCCGCCAGGTTTTTTTGGGCTGGAGAAAATAGGGCGAATCCTGATTTCGTACGGTGGGTACGATCGAATAATGGCCAAAACCCTGCACTTTTTGATTAGAAATTGCCGCTTTCAGGGATCATTTTTATGGTCATAAGAAGCCCTTTTAGAAGGGGAACCACTCTGGGGTCCGTGCAGGAACCAAGATGGCGGCCGTTAAAGATGGCCGCTAAGCGTTTTTTCAGCGCGCTATATCTCGGAAACTTCGTGTCCGATTTTCGTTTTCTTGGTCTCGTTTTGAAGCTGAAATGCTTCTACAAAAGTCTACCTCGTAAATTTTTTTGCCTAAAGCACACATGAATGATCTTTAGGAAAATTTTGAAATTTCACCCAATTTTCAAAAGCGCCTAATTATTTAATACGCGAGAAAATGGGTTTTTTGCCATAAGTAACGACGATGGGAAATTATCTCACATTTATTTGATACCAAAACAATTTTTTTGCGTCAAAAAATGCACCTGCCAGAGCAATTTAAGTGAAGCGTCGCGGCACGCGGTGCGCGGTGAAAACGGCAGAATACGGTCAATTAAGTCAGCGATTGTGCATGTATCGTAAAGGTCCTGAGGGAAACATTTGTTTGAGATACAAAACTCGTCAGCAAAAATCATTATGATATGATTTGTGCTCCGCATTGTAGTGAATTTCGATCGAAAAAACCGCATCTCGTTGAAACCCCTCCCTCCTTTACTCTACAGTTCAAAAGGCCTCCTGTTTTTCGAAATTTCAGCTATATTCGGACGAATTTCAAGGTATCTGTGAGGAAATCTTTTTGTTGATTTCCGTACAGTAATAACGGTGTTTAACGTGTTCTCAGTTTAAACTGCATTCGCATGCATTCTTCGATTTAAAGATGTTCTTCATATTTAGTCCTCTTTTGACCTCTCTTGTTTGTCAAAGATCGCAAAACGTTATTGCAAAACTACCCAGAAAAAAACATCGAAAACGGCTAGTCAATCTTCCAAACCATATCATAATACGTCTCATTCCAGACAACAAATACCCCAAGACCAAAAGAGAATACGCTTTTATGTTGATTTGTACGAATTTCTCTCCCTTTTTTCCCTCCGTATATACCGACTATACCGATGAAAATTCATCCTGATAAACAAATTAAGTTTTATGAGAAGTGAGATAACCCTCTGTACATCGCGATTTATCGAAAATCTGCCCTAGAATCCGGGAAATCACGCAAGGCTGCGTCCACTTAAGTTGCGTAAGGCGCGGCGCAGTGATGAATCGGGTCAAAACGCATACCAACGGAAAGTTCTTGCCACGGGGGTGTGCTTATAATTGAGCTCATGGATTCATTTATCATCGCACAAAAATGGTTATTGTATCATTTTAAACGTCAGAGAGTGATCTCTCTACAAAATACGAGAGGAGGTTTGTCTCTCCAACCAATTGAAAATTAATCGTCGTTGTAAATTTTGTAAATTTGAACATTTTCTATTCTTTTGAAAAATACCGGGAAAATTCTGAAGGAAACTGCACGTATATCCGTTACTCTAGTTAAATTTCAACATAGCTTCTAAACAAGCCCAAAATAATGAAAATTGGTCGAGAATGTGCCGAGATATAGCGCGCGTATGACTTGCGTAGCACGTCAATTGCCCGTATTCCGCCGTTTTCACAGCGCACCGCGTACCGCGACGCTTCACTTAAATTGCTCTAGCAGGTGCATTTTTTGACGCAAAAAAATTGTTTCGGTATCAATTGAAATGTGAGACAACTTAACATCGCCGTTATTCAAGGCAAAAAACCCATTTTCTCGCGTATTAAATAATTAAACGCTCTTGAAAATTGGGTGAAATTTCAAAATTTTCCTAAAGACCATTCATGTTTGCTTTAGGCAAAAAAATTTACGAGGTAGACTTCTGTAGCAGCATTTAAGCTTCAAAACGAGACCAAGAAAACGAAAATCGGACACGTAGTTTACGAGATATAGCGCGCTGAAAAAACGCTTAGCGGCCATCTTTAACGGCCGCCATCTTGGTTCCTGCACGGACCCCAGAGTGTTTCCCCTTCTAAAAGGGCTTCTTATGACCATAAGAATGATCCCTGAAAGCGGCAATTTCCAATCAAAAAGTGCAGAGTTTTTTTTTGTGTACCTACCCCGCGTACTAATTTCGGTGCCCGATCGATCGATTTTAGTGAGATTTTTGGCGACCAGGGGTATTTTTTGCAGGAGACTCGAATGTTCAGTCAAATTTTTAAAAGTTGAAAATCCAAAATGGCAGATGTTGCTTCAGATGCTATTGTGGCACCTGTTCAATCAAATTCAACGAAACTCGATAACAGAAGTTATATATTGTAATTTTCTTGTCAAAAAGTGCTCTTTGATACTGAATGTCACATAAATCAGTTGAATGAGTGCTAAGATAGTATTTTGGACCACAGCCGTCATTTTGGACTTTAAAATCTCAACAATTTGACTTCAGATTTGAGTTTCTTGTCAAGAAATACCCAAAGAAACCGGACAGCACTATAATTAAGTTTTTTTTTTTTTTTTTTTTCCCCTCTTACTGAAAAAGCATTTTAGGCCACACTTGCCACCTTGGATTTTTGAAGTTTCAGAAATCCACGCAACATTTGAGTTTCTCATAATTTTAAACCTACGGACACCAAGTTTTCACCATAATTGATTGAATGTGCACTGTATTAGCGCTCTAAGGCACATCTATCATTTTTTATTTTTTAATTTTAAAATTTTAACCCTGAATCGAACGTATTTTTGTCAAAAAGAATTATGTGAAAATCCATCAAAGAGAATTAACATGCAAACCCCGTGCACATAGTCCCTTTTGATTTGATTCATTTTTGCATCGTTTCTTTTAGCTTTATACATCCGATTCAGGTTTCCCATCAAAAAACACATCTGGCTACCATTTTTTCCTCATTTCTCGAACAGTCCCCGAGAAAGTCTTTTAGCACACATTTCTTTTTGATTTTATTCGTTATCAAGGATTCTGAAAAGTTAAAAGCACTGTGTACAGTTTCATTCATATCTCGCTTAATCTGCATTTTCAGAAATGTTGACAATATACGAGGACCTTTCCCACCAAACAGCATTTACGCGTATAAGCTGATTGCTCGGAAATTTGCGATGAAGATAACTCATACCCTAAATGAGGTACCTTTTGAATCTCATGTCGATAGCTACCAAAGATCAGCAGATAAGATTTTTTTGGTGTCCAAAGGTAGACTTATCAGTGCATTATTGAGCAAACAGCGTACACGCATTTCATGCCTTTGCTCAGAAATTCTATTTGCAGTGTATCATACCAAGGTATGAAATGAACGGTTTACGTTCTACCATACTTTCTTACCCACAGGAATCATTTTCAAGGGGAGAGGAGGGGGGTGAAACACCTATAAATGAACTACTTGGGAAGACCCCATTTTACTGCGATGTTTACCGTTTATTGAACAGCTAACACCAAAAATTGGTGCATCAAGCCTTTTTTAGAAGCTCAGGGACATTGGATTTATCTTATGTCTTTGATATCATAAAAAAAAATTCTTTGCATAATTTCATATTGCACTTTTTTAAGCTTTCTCCCCAGAAACACCCTATTTCTGAGCAAACAGCATATATGTAACTTCAAAAATTAATGATTTCAGACCAGAAATAACATCCTATACTTCTGTTTTGGATGGATATTAGTCCACAGGGATATAATTGGTAGAAATAGACCATTTTTCGTTTAGTTCCGACGACACACCGGAATCTGCGTACGAATGAAAACTTTAAATACGATTTTCTGACACCTGCTATTTTTCATATAAGCTATTTGGTCGGAATTGTCCATATGTCTTTAGAGAAACTTTCTAGCTTTATTCAAGCCTTACAAATTCAATATCAGTCTACGTAATAATTAAGAAATGCCAATGGTTTTCAAAAATTTTACATAGTTCCATTTGGTATAACCGCGTCCAGTTATAAGTATGGAATAGATTCCAAACTCAGTTTTGTTCTTCTGAAGGGTAAAATTTATATTAAATAAAGCCAATGTTTTTAACTTGACATGATCTGTGATATTCATCTTATTTCATCATGTATTTTCTCTCTGCATGAGAAAACTTCCATCTGAAAAAAACTAAATTACGTAATAACATGAGCAAAAATAATTTAGGTCATTGAGAATTGGCCCGTCAAAAAGTTAAGATTTGTTTTTACGTAAATCTTTAGTGCTAATTCAGAGAATGACTCTCATTCTTTCAGATCAGTTCAGCTGTCCTTGATAAAAATGGAAAATTTTCCAAAAATACGATTTAAAAAACCAAACTCATTGCAAGTGCTCCCCCCCTCCACCAGGAGCAGAGAAAGACGTACTTTTACGTCAAAAACTGCATCAAGTGACAACTATAACGAAATTTTCCATTCCAAAATTAAAGAAAAGGAAATATTTCCATAAACTTTTTTTTTGCCAAGTAAATTTGATTTTACTCTATTTCAATGTATTTTTTAGAGTCTGCTTGGTCCATTCCACCTCATGGACAAAGTTCGAATGGATTTCCAACCAGTCAGTCATTAAATTTCCCTTCTACCAAAGCTTGGATTAAAACTGATTCATCCGTACATAGTAATCCATTTGTGGTAAGTGATGCACTCTACCTGGCTTTATTATTTTTTCATTCTTGAGGTGGAAAATGGGGATCATGTGTAAGTTGAAAGAGAAAAAACGTTTCAAAATGTTTGTGCCCCTTTGCTTTTAGAATGAGAGCAGTACTAACATAATACATATGTAGATAGTGAACATCCCTAAATGCTACCTCTTTTCCCTTCTGTACCAAGATCCTTAATGGTTGAGAGAGACTCCCTCCATTTTCAACAGGATCATTATTGGAATTGATGTACAAAGCGATTGACAAAGAAGACAAAGGGAGAATGGAGCTATACTATAGATGCTATTAGTGGCACGTCACAGCCGATACCAATTGTATTGAATTGGATCCAAAAATCAAACATAACCTCATATTGGCCACATCCCTCCCATTAATCATCAGAATTTTACTGTCAAAAGGCAGGTAACTAGAGTGGTCTAGTAGTGGCTTAACTCATGGCGGCCCTTGTAGGAATTTCCTCCTTTCTGAAAATGCTTTGCCGTGTCAGGTTAATCATTCAGGGACGTCCTATGATCAAAAATACTGTCTCTAACACAAATTTTTATTTCAAACTGGGCAAACTATCCCTGAAATAGTTAAGTTTGACATTGTAATAGTAAGGTGATGCCATTGTTTGGATCCAATTCTATAGGATCGATTCCGGCTGTGATAAACATTAATAGTCAATTCAAACAAGTGATTATTATAGACTTACAGGAAAAATGATGGACCAGTGGTAGGGTCTTTCAGTGGTTGCCATGAGTTGGTCTAGTATTTACCCTCTTTTTCCATTGTAACAATCAGCCTCCACAAATAGGATTGCTTTATTTTCCCTATGTCTTCTTTGTCTATCGTTTCATCTACAAATGTCAATAAGCAATAATTTCTCATTGCAGAGATAAGGCTAAGCCCTTCTAGATGATGCCCCTCTGTGTGACAATCCATTTGCCAATATAGTATTTTTTAGCCCACACTTATTGCAACTCTGCCGGCCAATAGATTGCTCTTATCAGTCATATATTGTATGTTGACAGCAGGTATCTTTCAGATCTAAAACCTGCAATACATGTAAAAACACAAAATTCATATACTGTGATGAGATTGGTAGGCATGATTGTACGAATTATGGTGATCATTTTGTGAGAACGGATGAGCTGAAATTATTTTGCACACTACCATTATCTTTTGACTGTAAATCTACAGAAGCAGTAATCACCAGATTTTCAATGAATAATTCTTCTTTGAAAAAACTATCACTTGTCTCCTCTAACAAACAGAAGAGACTCTAAGCTAAATAACTGACACCTCTCAGCCAGATTTGAATATAAACTGTAATGAACTCGGCATTCTCAATTAGAACATTAGTAGCACAGTCAGCAATTCATATAAAATACGTCTTGGGCTTCGAAAATTGCCATTATTTCCTGACACCCCTTTGTCCCACCCAACTGTAATTCAAACATGATGTAGATATTATCTCATTCATTCAAGAGTATATGAGGACTTATCTGTTACAATTGCGGATGTCGAGTTTTCACATTGTGAGGAAATCGCGTTTGAAGTTTTCGAAGCTTTGAACTTTGCTGCCTGTAGAACCGAGAGGATTTTTATAAAGACTAGCTGCTTCAGCTCGCTAGGCTCGCTTGCGCCGGTAGCCAGGGGCAAGCCCCCTGGACACTTGCGGAGCGAGTGACTGTTGGCTCGCCTCGTGAGCCAAATTTTGTTCTTACAAGTAATTAGAGGACTTCCTGGTGGCAAAATGATAAATTCAAAAACAAAGAATAAGAAACTACTAATGATAACCACCTACTTCTAGAAAAAGAAACATCCTTGCAAAATAAAAAACACTCCTGTGAAAGAAAATCAAAACACTTTGTGAAAATTAAACGATGCGAAAGGGTGAAGATTAATCACTGATTCTCTTGGAAAAATACATAAGCTGCTGTCAAAAAGATAATTATTAATAAAACCTGTGCTGCCGTAAAAAGGAAAATTATCTTCTGAAAAATACACATCAAAATTAAGTAATTTTCATGTAAAAAAAAAACTAAAGACAAAATCAAGAAAGCAAAACTCTAGATGCACTGATAAGAAACATGGACAAACCGAGAACTCATTATGAGCAATGTGACGAAGGAAATGCGTAGCAGGTGTTCCGAGTCGGACAGCATAAGGAAGGGAGTGATACTGCCATAGAACCCATGCCAGGGTAGAAGGATGACACGTGTTGTGAGCAGGTAGGGATGGGTTTACTTGGAGAGGGAAACGGAAAATCAGAGGGTGGGAGGTCCCCCAACCATATGACTCGTCCAGCGTCAAAAACGCAAATACGTCGTCATCAAATCGAGGTAAATTTTGCAACATCGGTCGCGCAAATCGAAAAACCAAGGGGTGCTAGCACATTTACAGCCTAAGAGCTTTCATTTAAAACAAATCCGAGGAAAATCGGTCCAGTAGTCTCCGAGATCGAATTAGGACAAACCGTCCAAACTGAAGGAGGACAAAAAAAGCCTTAGGATATTAAATATAGATATAGATTTTCATGAAGAGCAACCCTTCCTGTAAATAACACACGTTTTGCGATTTATGTAAGTGAAAAATTGAAGGAGTAACAGCGATTAGGAAAAAATGTGACATCCGCTGTTTTTACTGATAACGTATTTTTATGCATGAAACAAAGTCTTCGGGAGGGTTAAGGCCGGTGAAACGATTGAAATGAACCAAAAGTAAGTCAATGCTGAGTCATTTAATAAAATTGAACAAAAAACCAGACCGTTTTTAACTTCTAGAACAAAAATAAGGAACAAATTATAAAATCAGTCAAAAAATCAACAATTCTAGCGAGACTGTCCCAATACGTATCATTTGAGTGTCAGCTATAGCCCATGGTCGGTGCGCGGGCAGTTATCGCAAGTGGATTCGAATCTCTACTATGTCCTGCCGTGCTGGCGGGGGAGAATAGTGGATTCTCACATCCACTGTTTTTAGAAATAACATGGTTTTCAGTTCATATCTCGCCGAAAAATTGTCCTAGAAATCTGAAACTTTGCACAGGCATTCTTGAGGGTTCCAGAATTCGAAAAAAGCGTTTGTCCTAAAAATGGTGGAGGTCAGCGACCGCTGTTGTTACATATATATCCTCATATATCGTCACTCCTCTGACGTAAGGGCGTATCTCGTTTTTTGCTACTTTTCAGGAGAGCAAAAATAAGACTTCTGGTACTTTCTTTTGCGTGCCATTCTCCAGCTATTCAACCTACAGGTATCATTCTTTTATCAGCTTATAGGAAAAAAGGTCAGGATTTAAATTATATCAATTTTTCTTTTGAACATTGACTTTAAAAGAGGTTTCAGACGAGTTTATTGAAAGATGCCAAAATACGCCACTACGTCAAATCTGTTTCTGTGCGCGGCAACCAGATACGTCCCTCTTTTGATGATGCAGGGCTGTCAGTTAACAGCTGATATTAGTTTCAACTCGTTTCCCTTGAAACTCGTTCCCCCTCGTTCATTTGAAACACCCTTTGCCAATGAACTTTTAATAGAATTTTGACTAACATGCACTTGGAAATACTGATAAAAAATGCAAAATAAAATACGGAAAAAGTACTCACACTGTCAGGACCCAAGTTTTGCGCAGACGAGGAAAAAATCCAAATTTTAAGCTGTTTCCGCTAGAGGGCCTCTAATTTCACCGCACTTACACTATTCATAGTCCTGTCTATTTTTTCTATTAATACATCCATGTTGATCGTAAAATATATCACAAATTTGTCACCAGTAACCGTGATCCAGAGACCGCGCCGTTTCAAAGTCGCGTCACCATAGCTAGCTCGGCTGAAGACTAACTCAGAGAGATCCAGTTTTGGGTGTATACATCCCTCCTCTCATCTATTCTCACTAACTTGCTTGAGTTTGCGAGATTACTCAATTATTACGAATTTTCGAGATAAAAGAGTGAAAAGAAGGATGGCAAGAGCTCGACCGGCAAGGGATGAGAATTTGCCAACTAAGGACCAGCCCTTACTTTGTCCTCGTACATCACAATGTTTTTGGTATTTTTCAGCTGAACGAACAGGGTGGAAAAATTTGAAATCAACACCCCAAATACAGTGTTGGACTCACATTCCCTACTTCCTCTTTTCGTCGAAGGCTTAGCTACCGACTCTCCTGCCCTGCATTGAGCTGTTCCGAGGAAATCGTATGTCAATAGTCAGTGCAAGCTTGCCTGCCTCTTGTTTCTTCCACTTGTGCGTGAATGGGTGTAATTAGGCACAAAACCACTTTCTAGAAGCCACAGCGGCTGGGGTGGCCGAGGGTTATTTCTTTGATACTGCCTTACCGATGCGACTGTAGAAAATGTTGCAGCGAGCACACGAAAGGCGGCCTGGGAAAATCAGTCCACACAGAGGCGAAGATGATTAGTAGTAAACAGGAGTGCCACTTGCATTAATTTGCGGAAATATTATTATGTTCGATGAGCAAGAATCACACTGAGACAAACGTTCGTCTGTAGACGGCACATGCAAATTCAATTTGGACATTCTAGCGTGGCATAGTTTGAATCAGCATTGCAAGCTTATGCTCTAGATGTATGATTAGATAGTTTTAATGAAAAATTTAGGTCATATGAATATCAAAAAGTTTCTCTAAGATATGATTGACTTTGTCGCTGGACATGCTGCATGAAAGGCGTTAGGGATACTCACTACTGAGGATCGGCTCGACGTAGGGGTGCATCTTCCAGTGTGGAGGCAGAGATACACCCTTACCTTGTGTCACTTTTTTGGCAATAAGGAGATATGCCCTTCAAATCGAGGTACGCCCTTACATCAGAGGAGCGATGATATCCGTGCAACTTTTTTAGCAGAGCACAGAAAAAGGACTGAGGCACTGCAATTTGTACACAACACGCACCTAAAGTACAATCATTGCACGACAGTAGCAACAATTAACTGCTGTTTTCTGCAGTTGTAACAAAAAGGAATCGATTTTTAAAATAAGCAGTATTTCTTCTCACAAGATCAATACAAATACTGTCCAAAAACCGGCAATAGACCTTGTTCTTGAGTACCGTAAAATATTTTTGACTTGTGGTTTGTAAAAGGCTGTAGAACAACATGTTGGTTTCACGATAACTTAAATGCTGAATTCAGTAAAATTAAAAAAACTCTGACAAAGCCTACATTCAATTTTTGCGCCATTTTAGATGGGCACCAATTTGTTTCGTGCAATTTTGCAAAAGTTTTTGTAAGGTGATACTAGAAATTATTTGTTTGAGGAATTTAGTCACTTTTTGGAGCAATTTGAAACACAAATGAAGGTCAAGCAAATGTGTGTAAGGTTTGGTCCTATTTTGACTAGATTTACTGGATTACTTTCGCTTTTTCTAAAGGGACTGCTGGGAGAGGGCCCGAAGGGCTCCAGGACTACAAAATTAGAATTCCCTGGAAACAATTTCCCATTTGATCTCACTTATTTGATACTGTTGTACCGCAAACCTCCCGAAAAGTGTTGGTGCAGGTGGCTGTATCACCCTGAGTACTACTGATCAGTTTAGAATGTTAAGATTTGGGAAAATTAAAACTCGGACTTTTAAGTCAATGCTTACCCGTGAGCTGAGGAGTGTTATTAATTCAATACACTGTTATATTTGTATCATTTGAATGAGTTTGTTTAGTCATCTCTAATTCTTGCAGTTTTGATAGCTAGAGAAAGCATATTGGTAACAGGGGAGTAAACATAAGCGCATTGGAATCTTTCGATTTGCATGAATATCATGACTGTTCTAAGGTCAATGAAGCACTTCAAAATGAGTTCATGAAGATTGAAAGACTTTGATGTGTGTATGTATCGTATGTTCACTCCTTTCCAATGCATGCGCACTGACCATGGATCGTGCCAGAGGGAACGTGAGGTCAAAAGTGTGGCTAAAGCGGGGCCAATCAGCATAGCCGCCATCTTGGATGGCCCGGTGTCGCGCATGTAAATCTAAGCTCAACATTTGCAACTGCGAAGTCATTTCCAGTTGGTTAGTACTCTTCAAAAAAATCGGGGGAAATTTCTGTGAACAGTGTGTGCTCTCTAATTTTCAAAAATGGTAGAATTAGAAATTACTGAACAAGCTCACTGTTGTAGTGTGGATGGTTAGTTGAAATTCTGAAATGTAAGATGTATTCCACGGTGCCCCTGAACTCACTTTAAATGCGACTTTGTTGTACATCAAAAATTCAAGTTGGAGGTTGTAGTGGGGTACTCCCTAATGGGTTTTTGGGCAATTTCGAAATAGGTTGTCGGAGCTCCTCGAAAAATAATCGCATTTTTGTGGTTTTTTAGGGGTAAAATAGCAAAATTGGCCTCCGGGCGACAAATTAAACCCCCTCTCCCTCATCCTTGCCTTGACCGATCTGAATTTTTAGTATGTTTTTACCTGGTATAAGATGGGACTTTTCTGAAATTTTCATGCCCATACAAATTTTTTTGCTCCCGCGGCAGCGTTGCCAAGTTGCGGACTCCAAAATATCGAATTTAATGATAAAATGAAGGTTTCGGAGTGTGATTTCCATTCAAAATCAAAAATTCAAATTGTAAGTTGTAGTAGGGTACTGCCTGATGGGGTTTTGGCCAATTTCGAAGTAGAGTGTTTGAGATTTTTGAAAAATAATCGAATTTTTGCGGTTTTTTAAGGGTAAAATAGCACACTGAGCACGGGGCGGCAAGTTGAACCTTTTCTCTCTCATCCTTGCCGTGACCGATCTGAACTTTTAGTATGTATTAACCTGGTATAAGATGTGACTTTTCTGAAATTTTCATGCCCATACAAAATTTTTTGCCCCCCGCGGCAGCGTTGCCACTTTGCGGACTCAAAAATATCGAATTTGATGATAAAATGAAGGTTTCGAGGTGTGATTTCCTCCAAAATTTCACGAAAAATGTGCAATCTGAGAGTTTTCGATAAGAAAAGGCATACTTGAACAATTTAGAGTTGCAGTGTTGCCAGCTTTTGATTTAAAATTCGTCAAAATGACCCAAATCGCGTTGCAACCTCGAGCGCTGGATTTTTATTTTGTTCAGAATTGGTTATTACGGTTCTTCTGTACTCTATGCATTTAGGTACCATGAAAATTATGCCATTACTTACTTGATGGGTGCAGCTAACTCAAAAAGAGAGGCCGGATAAAGCGATGAGTCGGGGGAAAACGAGCGGTTCGGGTTGACAGAAAGTTCTTAAATCTACTCCATCACCAGAAAGTAGAATTTGAGAACTTTCTCCCACCCCCCAAACCTTATCCCTGTTGCAGTCAATCCTTTGAACATTTGATCTGAAATTTTGCCCCCGAATTTTTACCAAAAACATGAAAAATAAAAACGCGTTTTTGTGCAAAAACACATCATGTTTTTGGTAAAAATTCGGGGGCAAAATTTCAGATCAAATGTTCAAAGGATTGACTGCAACAGGGAGAAAGTTCTCAAATTCTACTTTCTGGTGATGGAGTAGATTTAAGAACTTTCTGTCAACCCGAACCGCTCGTTTTCCCCCGACTCATCGCTTTATCCGGCCTCTCTTTTTGAGTTAGCTGCACCCATCAAGTAAGTAATGGCATAATTTTCATGGTACCTAAATGCATAGAGTACAGAAGAACCGTAATAACCAATTCTGAACAAAATAAAAATCCAGCGCTCGAGGTTGCAACGCGATTTGGGTCATTTTGACGAATTTTAAATCAAAAGCTGGCAACACTGCAACTCTAAATTGTTCAAGTATGCCTTTTCTTATCGAAAACTCTCAGATTGCACATTTTTCGTGAAATTTTGGAGGAAATCACACCTCGAAACCTTCATTTTATCATCAAATTCGATATTTTTGAGTCCGCAAAGTGGCAACGCTGCCGCGGGGGGCAAAAAATTTTGTATGGGCATGAAAATTTCAGAAAAGTCACATCTTATACCAGGTTAATACATACTAAAAGTTCAGATCGGTCACGGCAAGGATGAGAGAGAAAAGGTTCAACTTGCCGCCCCGTGCTCAGTGTGCTATTTTACCCTTAAAAAACCGCAAAAATTCGATTATTTTTCAAAAATCTCAAACACTCTACTTCGAAATTGGCCAAAACCCCATCAGGCAGTACCCTACTACAACTTACAATTTGAATTTTTGATTTTGAATGGAAATCACACTCCGAAACCTTCATTTTATCATTAAATTCGATATTTTGGAGTCCGCAACTTGGCAACGCTGCCGCGGGAGCAAAAAAATTTGTATGGGCATGAAAATTTCAGAAAAGTCCCATCTTATACCAGGTAAAAACATACTAAAAATTCAGATCGGTCAAGGCAAGGATGAGGGAGAGGGGGTTTAATTTGTCGCCCGGAGGCCAATTTTGCTATTTTACCCCTAAAAAACCACAAAAATGCGATTATTTTTCGAGGAGCTCCGACAACCTATTTCGAAATTGCCCAAAAACCCATCAGGGAGTACCCCACTACAACCTCCAACTTGAATTTTTGATGTACAACAAAGTCGCATTTAAAGTGAGTTCAGGGGCACCGTGATTCGAGAATATTTTCTGTTGTATTTCCTCCCTAATAGCTGTTTATTCAACTTTTTTCTCTCGTTGTTCTTACAGTTCAGCCCCGGTCCGAAGGATGCTGGACACCACTCAAGTAATCCATTTCTCTAGTGGTTGTAGCTCTTTCAACAAATCGAGTTCTGTTTTTGGTCTCCTACTTATTAGAATGGCCTAGTTTTGACAAATTAAAAGATTTTCAATCATACCTATTTTATTACTTGTTTTTCATCCTGATGACTACGAATACTCATGATACAAGTGTGTATCCTTGTATACAAAGTAAGGTTTTAAGCGTTTTTAGTTCTTCCCCCTCTCCCCAAACTGTTGCTGTGCCTAAACTCTCAAAATCTGAGTGATATAAATATATTTTTTCCCAAATGTTTCATAATTCATTTCAACAGGCTTGTCAACCTGTTGCTAATTATTGAATTTTTTTGTAAAAAGTGTATCGGCAGATCGCTTAGTACTTACTCAGATTTTCGAGCAGTATAACTCCTGCTGATGCTCTGTTTTAAAAACGGCTCTTTGTAAAAATTGAAATTTTACATGGTGAAGGAATTATTCCCCAAGAAACCAGCCCTACAATTAAGGAATGGTGTTCTGTTTGTCTTAAGTAGAATCAAGAAGTTTTTATTCTCTAACCCAGGTTGTGTCTCACAACCCTTTTATCCTTAAAATTATTCCTGCGATGCATGTAGTCTTCTCCTTTCTCTTCAAAGTTGTTTTAATTTAGAGTGCAATTTTTTTTTTTTTGTAAAATATAAGTCCATAAACTTGTAAAAGTTTAAGAATGTCTTTTATTGAGACATCCTAAGATTGGTGCAAGCTTGTATTCCTGAAGGTACTTAATGTATTGTAAAACATCGATTTAACAATTGTCATTGGAGGGACAAAAATGTGCGTTAAAATTAAATGCATCAAAAACGCAATGAAAAATGTTCATCGTTGTTCAAGTTGATCCCTGTAGCCTCAGAAATGTTTTGCAACTGGCTATGTGTACATGCGGCCGTTTTGCAGCTTACTGTTGCATAAACAACAGCAAGTATTATCGGATAAAAGGGAGTAAGTCTACCGGAAAAAAATGGTCCAAAAAAATGTCAAACGTTGATGAAACATTAAGATCGCATGAGCACACAAAAGACTCACAATCAGACATGTGACCACGCCTGGCAGTGTTTCAGTAGGGAGGATGTAATAGCCTGTACGTAAACGATGAGGCCCAGTTAAAACAACATTTCTGTAAATGGTATACATTGTGTGTCACAGCATAATGTTTAATTCTCAACATATTGTGATGAGATTGGATCTGGCAAATTTCCCAAGTTTCCTCGTTGAAAAAGTAGTTTTTTTCTTTCTATTTTATTTTTATTATTATTATTATTATCATTATTTTTTTTTTTATTTTTTTTTTTGGTCATCACTAGCCCTTGAAATTGTTTTTATATCAAATCAAGAATTGCTGTGACAGCGTTATTTCAAATTAAAAAAATTGTCATTTATGTGCATGGAACTTTGGCAGGTTCTTATATCGAAACAACTGTGAAATTGAAAGTTGCTATTTTTAAGTCTTAATGTATTATTTTCATTTTCGGTCTCCAGGAATAGTAAAACACTAGTTATAAAATATAGCTGTACTTGTAAGTTTAGTGTCCTTACTGTAGCTCAAAGGGCTAAAATTGACATACAAAGAAGGAGAAGGGAAAATGGAGCTATCCTTTTGGTGAAAATGGGTTGTTGCAATGGACAAAGAAGATATGAACTAACCAATGGCAAACCACAAGGGATCCTATAGTTAGTTCATAACTTTCTCTCTAAGTCTGTAACAACCATCTGAATAACTAAAAGACCAACTAGACCGCATTTTGCGATTGGGGAGTACACTTTCTGGCTCAGTTTGCTAGACCCCTCCCCCTAAAAACTATGTCTTCCTCAACATACCTCCCGCCCCGCTTCTTGAGGAAATCGTAGGAAATCGATAAAAATCAGTAGATATAGTCTGTCGAGTTAAAATATGATTAGTGTCTTTTATTGAGTATCAAATATATGTTGTGTTCTCTCCCCCCCCCCCCCCCC